CCAAAATGGCGACCCTCAATTTAAAATGATCAGATGCCATCTTGGGTCAGGAGGTATCGATTTCACTCCGAAACTAGTAAAACGGTGTTTGAAATATCATACATGTCTTGTACACATTAAACGACTACACATGCTATGTTTTGATTATCACACTTGCCACTTACGTTTTTCTCTATTGTCAAGTGAAGTGTAGTAGACTGTGACGTCTAAACTAGTTAAAATTTTCGTTCTTACACTTTCATGTGAAAACGAGCGAGAATGAAGTGAAACGAACACGAAATTAGCAAAAATGATATATATACGTTTAAAATGACTACGTGCCATTTTGGGTCACGAGCTTTCGATTTTTCTTTGAAACTAGTAAAAATAATGTTTGGAACACCATAGATAATTTGTACATATTGAACGATTGCACATGCTATGTTTTGTATACATTTTCCTTGGTTGTCAATTGTAGTGTAATCTACAATCGGACGTATGATGTGACTCGTTATAGTTTGAACTTTTTGTGGACTGTGACGTCTAAATCTAGTTAAAACTTTCATTCTTACACTTTCATGTGAAAACGAGCGAGAATGGAGTGATGTTCTTCGAAATTTGTAAAAACAATGTTTAGAATATCATAGATAAGTTATATATATTGAACTATTGCACATGCTATGTTTTCTATACCATACTTGTTTTATTTACTTTATTTCATAGTTAAGTCTAATACAACGTACTCACGGAACAATTGTGTTGGTTATTTTCGAGTGAACTTTATGCCGATAAACGGGTCCAAATATAATGAAAACTTCAATTCGTTCGTTTTCATGTGAACTTAAGTGAAAATAAAGTAAAACGGATACGAAATTAGTTCAAATGACACCCAATCATTTAAAATGGCCGCATGTCATTTTAAATTATAGGGTCTCGATTTCACTCCAAAACGAGTCGATCATATATCAGAACATCATTTAAGATTTATACAAGTTAAACAATCTAATTTATTGAGTATCTTATCTCATAATTGGAATTTAAATTATTTACTTTTTTAATGACATCATGTTGTTCTGCATGGCAGGGTCTTGATTTTGCTACAAAACAAATCAACCAGATTTGAAAAACTTCAACTCATTTTAATGTGCATACGAGTGAATAAAGTGAAATTGATACGAAATTAGTTAAAACGACACAATCGTTTAAAACGGCATCATGTCATTTTAGAATATAGGTCTCAATTTCTCTATAAATGTAGTGAAAAAATATCTACGTTAGTTAAAATGGCACCAAACCGTTTATAAATACAGCAAGGCGTTTTGGATCAAGGACTCTCAATTTCACTCAAAATATGGTTAAAACTTATTTTCATTAATTTTATGTGGATACGAGGAAACATAAATCCATACGAACATAAAATTAGTTAAAACAGCATTCAGTCTTTTAAAACGGCAGTATGCTATTTTATTTTTGGTTTCAAATTGTGTATGAAAAGTAGAATGAAAGTGGGGATTTATGTTTGGAGGATTTGGTAAATTTTTGTTTCAAATTGGATATTTTGGATATTTCAAATGAAGGGTACTTAAGACTTTTAACACATAATGAAATAGAATAAATGCTAGTTAACCAAAAAGTACTGAGATGGTCTATTTTACCAAAAAAATATTGTTGATTAGGCCTTTTAAACAAATCCCCTTTCAGNTTTCATTAATTTTATGTGGATACGAGGAAACATAAATTGATACGAACATAAAATTAGTTAAAACAGCATTCAGTCTTTTAAAACGGCAGTATGCTATTTTATTTTTGGTTTCAAATTGTGTATGAAAAGTAGAATGAAAGTGGGGATTTATGTTTGGAGGATTTGGTAAATTTTTGTTTCAAATTGGATATTTTGGATATTTCAAATGAAGGGTACTTAAGACTTTTAACACATAATGAAATAGAATAAAGACTTGTTAACCTAAAAGTATTGAGATGGTCTATTTTACCAAAGATTATTGTTGACTAGGCTCTTTAACCAAATCCCCCTTTGAAATATCTAGACTTTTAACACATAATGAAATAGAATAAATGCTAGTTAACCAAAAAGTACTGAGATGGTCTATTTTACCAAAAAAATATTGTTGATTAGGCCTTTTAAACAAATCCCCTTTCAGATTTAACTTATCTAGGGTATTTTTTGGAGTTTGTTTATAAATAATTTAAGCTATAATAAATAAGTAAAAGTGACGTCGATCATTTATAAATAATTTTTAAATTGTACTAAAACTAATATTTTGAGCCGGCAAAGAGGGACATAGCGCGATGTTCGAGAAAAATCTGTCGATAACAGTTTCATTAGCTGGATCGTTTGACCAGTTCTTGTCTTATGATACTGGAAGAGAGCGGGAGAGGGTGGGGGAGTAAGAATCGCAGAAAGAACGATCGATGAATGAGAAACCCGCCCAGCCTTGTTTCGCTCGCAATTGACTCTGCTGTTAATAACTGGTCTAGCATTTCAGATCTTTCATTTCTCCCTGAACATATTCTTCTCGAACTCTTCTCGGTACGTTACACTCCCCCACAACCTATTCCTCTTTTGCATATGGATGTATGCATCACTGTGTGCATATTTGTATAGAGCGTATTTTTGTTGTTGTTTTGTGTTCCCTTTTGATTAATTTTAATTGGGTTTGTCTTAATTTAATGAATTATTTATGTATCTTGATGTGATTTGGGATTTTGTTTTTGATAATTTTTGGCGCTTTTAGTTTTGTTTATATTTAGATCGGAGATTTATTCTACCCATTTGAGAACGATAAGAAAAGGAATTAGTAACTAGAAGTATTAACAATGTAAGTTTCGGGTTTTAGTTGAATACTTCTTGTCCTCCGTTGGGAAATGAAAGTAAACGACACAGTATATCTTCTTTGTTTTACTAGTGTTTTAATTGAAAAAAAAATTTATGAATTTAATGTGATGAGATTCTTGATTTATTCTCAAATAGCATTTGGAACCGGGATCATTTCGATGACCTATGTTGTGTTGAAGGAATATCTATCTAATCTGATCGATTGCTTAAGGCCCGCGATAGGTGCAAAGTAGTTAGCTTTTTACTTGTTGGGTTGTGAAATGCTATTTAAGGGGAGAATTTTAGAGCTTTACCTTTGTGGTGGGATATTGGGTTGGAGGAAAGGCTAATGAGCTGGGTAGGCTTTGGGATTGCAGATTTTGCTTGAAGTTGGAGGTGTGGAATTAACATCAAAAACTGTAGTGACGGTAGTATCAATTTGTTTTCTTTTGGGCTTTGATCATCTTCTTATCTCGTTCTAAATTGAGTTTGACAATATTCCACAACTACTCTCATAATGGTTGTATAAAATTGTTAACAAGTTTCATGAATCCTAACGTGTATTTTTAATGCACACAAGTTTGCTTGGAAGTGGAACAATCTAAAATCAAAATCTCACAATCAAGCTCATGGCCGAAGCAAAACAAAAATCTAACAATCAAGCTCTTGGCCGAAGCGAAACAAAAATGCATACTTTGGTGTTAATGTTTTGGAGCTAGTAAGAGAACTAAGCTAAAATTGATATGGTGGTGACAGTGTTGAGATCTTATCTTAAGATATCATTTGGAAGTCCCTATTCAAATACGATTATGAGATTGGATCTTCCTTCAATATTTGTGGTGTAAATGTATGTCTGAACTTATCTGAGTTGGTAATACAATCTCTCTAACTATGTGATTTATGTTACTTGTTTGTATTCATGGTTTCGAGTTAAGAAGTCCAATAACTAAATAATAAACACGGTGATGCTGTTTGAGGTCCTTTCATTTTTATTTTTTAAATAAATATCATTTAGAAGTTGAGGTTCAAATGCATCTATCAGATTGGAACATTTATCCACATTTAAGTTATCGATGTGTCTCAAGGGAATCTTTGGCATTAACATGTTGCATGAACTCAAGTGAGCATCTAATAATATCTATGTTTCCAGGTTTTCGAGTGTTCTTTACTCATGTGAATCCAAATAATTGAATCCATGCTTGATTGAAGCAACACTAGCTTCGTTTGCTTTGGGCTGAAAATTGAATGCTTGTTGGTATATGGATTTTATGAAATCGTGGTCATTTATTTTAAGATGATAAAGATTTAAGAAAGAACCAATTTATGAATGTTGAGTTGTAGAGGAAATGCTTTTATTTGAAAAGCTATTTATGAAAGTTTCTGATATTAGTAGGATTAGAACCATGAAGGATTATTCTGGTGCTTGTCAAGGATGAAAGAACTGTTACAGGACTAGACCATCTGGTTGTGGATAGAAGAAGGCATGACATTAAGTAAAATTCTAGAAATATATTACTTGATTCAGTTGTGGCCTTAATATGCAATTTTAGCCTACAACATACTCATCACCATTTTTGATCTTTTATTAGAATGTCCATGTCTTTATTCTGATTACTATATATGTTCATGATCTTTTGGTCTTTAAAGAAATGGATATAAAAATGGAAACAAAAATATAACTAATCAGTCGCTAACTTTTTCAATAAATAGTATTAATATCGCTTAATACATCCATTGCAGGAGACCAACAGATCCTGCTATATGCTTTTCTGCAGCCCTGGGACAATACATGGTTTTATTATTTATGTTCATGTATTGTTTATTTAACAACTGATGCAAACTTTTTTCTTGATCCCCAGAGAACTTTGAAAGCTGGTAAATTAAATGAGAGGATTTTAAAGCTGTTTGTGGCAACTGGCAAAGAAGAAATCCGTTCTGTGATTGAGGCGCTTAATATCCAACACATTCTGATTCCTGTCCTCCCCACTCGTAAGTCATTCTGTATTGAATTATGCTAATTGAGTTTGTATTGTTGTTCTCTACTAACTCCGTAATTCTTGTCAGGATGCTCTGAGAAATTCTGATGCTGTTTGTCCTTTAGTGATCCTGTGTCTTTGTGCTAAAATACCCTTTTAAGGAACAGCCTGATCTTACTATTCGAATTTTTTCTTGATCAAAATCTTGAAACATGTCTGAAACCAGCATTAACCATGATGAAGTGGATATTGTGATTGGTGCCCTTCAGTTAGATCTTACATCATTCATGGAAGAGTGGAGACCAGTGTTCTCCCAATTCCATCTAATAATCGTCCAAGATCCTGACCTAAAAGGAAAACTTGAGATACCAGCAGGATTTAACTTTGATCTCTATACCAAGTCTGATATAGATGGTGTTCTGGGCTCGTCATCAAATGCTATATCTTTTTCTGGCTACTCTTGCCGGTACTTTGGCTATCTTATGTCCCAAAAGAAATACATTATTGCTATTGATGATGATTGCATCCCAGCTAAAGATAGTACTGGGAATTTTGTTGATGCTGTTGCTCAGCATATGACCAACCTTTCAACCCCAGCTACACCTTTTTTCTTCAATACACTCTACGACCCTTTCTGCGAGGGGGCTGATTTTGTTCGTGGCTACCCATTTAGCTTGAGAAGTGGTGTCGATTGTGGTCTGTCATGTGGGCTGTGGCTGAATTTAGCCGATCTTGATGCGCCTACACAGGCCCTCAAGCCGGAGCTAAGAAACAATAGGTATGTTGATACTGTACTTACAGTACCAGCAAGGACCATGATGCCTGTGAGTGGGATCAACATAGGTTTCAACCGTGAGTTGGTGGGGCCTGCTTTACTACCGGCTTTTAGGCTGGCAAAGGAAGGAAACCTAAGGTGGGAAACAGTGGAAGACATATGGACAGGGATGTGTGTTAAGGTTGTCTGTGATCATCTGAGGCTTGGTGTGAAGAGTGGGCTTCCATACGTGTGGCGAAAGGAAAGAGGCAATGCGATTGAGAGTCTGAAGAAAGAGTGGGAAGGGGTCAAGTTGATGGAGGACGTCGTTCCTTTCTTTCAATCATTGAGGTTGTCTACATCGGCAGCTACTGCAGAGGATTGTGTCTCTGAGATTGCTGCAGCAGTGAAAGTGCAACTGGCACCGGCAAATCCTATTTTTGCTCGTGCTGCTGAAAATATGGTAGAGTTGGTCAAGCTTTGGAAGCGAGCACGAACTCAGTAAATGAATACTGTTCTCTCAAGAGGTGGCAATAATTGTTTCTCTTTCTCGTCTTACCTCCCATGTCTTTAATCATCTTAGGTACTTCATATAGCTATGCATTTGATTCTGATGTTTATTTCTAAACGAATGCTACGGTTTGTGCAACATATGAAACCTAAAAACTCCAAAATTCTTGTTCGACAGTGATGTATTCGAAAATTAGATGGCTGCAAGGATATATCTTCTCAGGTCAATTTTAAATTGCAGCATACATTTAATTGTACATTGCTTAGTTACTTCCCATTCTCACCTAATTAGGATATTACCCCTCTATCCCTAGTAATTATTTAGGGAAAAGTTCATTCGTGCAGATAACGGATTTAATCATTTTAGGATGTTTTTCAACTCGAAAACCAATTTCATTGCCATGTCTAGCACGCATGTATTCAGCCAAATAACATCTCAATATTTGATGTATAGCTTTGGAAAGCTATTAACTCATATATATATATATATATACCCATTGTAGGATTGGGTTGGATTCAGTCTATCATGTAGCATTATGTCTATGGTGGTGAGTCATTATAGTTTCATTTTATTCATATATGTCTTTAATATCTCGTTGGTTTGTAACCCTGAGGGATTACTCAATTGGTCAGACCTTAGATTTGCTTCCCAATGGTCATCAGTTCGAGTCCCATTAGGGCCGCTGAGGTGAGTACCCAACCTTAAACTTCAGAGTCTTGGAAAATTAGTCGAGGTGTGCGCAAGCTGACTTGAACATTCATGGTTATTAAAAAAACAAAAAAGAATCTCATTGGCTTATGATATCAAATAGTAAATCTAATAGTTTTTCAAACACTTTTCATGAAGAAGAAGAATTAGATCAAGAATATCAAGAACATGTATCTGCAACAACGTTATATACATTCAATTTTCATGACTTCAAATTGCACAAATTGAACAAAAACTCTGTAACTGGACTATTTCAACGGTATACAAAAGTTCTATAAATAGAAAAATTTGATCTTCGACAATATTATGTTATCAAAACTTTTAAATAAACTCTTGCTATTAAAAATCAAACAGCTCAAATAAATATTTTTTCAAAAGATACTATTCAAATCCATAGAAAGAGATTTAAATATCCTTATGTGGGACTTATTTAAATTGCTGTCAAACATTTGTTTAGATTTGGTCTAGACATTCCTATTCTCTTAACTCTTATAGATAACTGACTTCTCAATTTAAAAATTCATAATCAATCGTTTAGAATCAAAGCGGTCCAATTTTTTCAAATTGTTATTCAAATTTTAATCTCATTCTCAATGATGGAGCTATTCTTAATGCTCTTATTCTTCGTATTCAAGCGAAAAATTTCAAAATCAATGATCGTTCAAAAGCATTTGCTTTAATATATCGAATATATTACAAGATCATGAATAGTGAGCTCAATATTTGAGCTCTTCGCTCCTCTCCTCAGGAAGAAAGTCTTCTGGTGGAGGTCAACCCTCTCCATTCAAATATCATGATACGTGAAAGGATACTATGGAGTCTTCAATCTAGAAAACTTGAATTTGATTTTGAAAATGCCCAAAACCCAATTTTTGCTCCTATTCGTACTATTTCATATCAAATTATTTCATTTCTTGATGGACGTGTCAAGGTGATTTTCGATAAAGTTTCAACATCGAATAATCTACAAATGTCCTATTCATCTAGATCGGAGAATATATCCGATATTTTCCAATCTGCAAAGTTTCAACTTCTTCAGATAAATTGAAAGGAGAATATACTTCTGATAAGGATAATGAATCAGAAAAGGTTGTTTCTCCTACTATCAGATATGCTACCTAATCAATCAGAATGGTTGGATAGTCGGTGTAATGTCATTTCTTCTACAACTGATAGAAAAAATGAGTTCAAGACTGATCAAACTACTTGAGTAAAAAAATTTCGTCATACTCTCAAAACAATGTTTTCAAAAGATGAAATTGAATCTTTATAGGACGAATTTTATAATTATTTCAGTTTTTATGAATGGGCACCTTTCAAAGTTTTTATTAAGAAAATTGCTAAAACTAAATCTATTCAAAATACACATGTTAACAAGAAAATATGGAAGACTCCATCTGGTAAAAGTTTTCAATCTGAACATTCTTTGATGCACTAAATAGTTGTTTCTCATGGAAACACTAAAATTGTTGCATCACCTCTCAAGACAATTCTTGCTGCCTGACCAGAAGAATTTGGTACTATAGTTAAGGATATCAAAATTATTAAGAGCCTGTTTGTCTACCATTATTGGGAGAAAAATGAAGTAAAGTATTTTTTGGAAAATGTGTGGTTGAAATTTAAAGTAACTTTATTAGTTTGTGTGTGGAATATTTTATTGAGTAAATATGTGGTTGAGATTGTTTGCTGTAGAAAATAATGTTTGTAAAAGTGGTAGACAAACAGGGGCTAAATCCCAAAACAATTATACTGATATATTCTCCAGTCAACGTATTCTCAATTTTCCAGAATTGAAGCCAATCCCGAGTCTGAGGCCCCCTTATCTAAAAAAGATGGGAAGAAATATCTTGATACAATTTTCAAAATATTGGTTCAAATCTTACTCCAAATTTGAAAAAAAAAAAAAGATTCTTTATCTACTGAATCAAGTATTTTCAAGATCTTACAAATCAAATTTCAAAACTTGGCACTTCTAAGAATATCAATACAGTTGATAATTTAGAAGAACTTGAATCTCAATTTATTGAGAATGAACCTTCTCAAATCAATAAATTGAAAGGACAAAATTTAAAACTTTCAAATTTTTACCTTCATCCTTCTTATCGAGGAAAAAATGAAACCTCAAGTTTCTTATTCAGGTGATGAAATTGTTGAATGAAATATTAATGGTTTAACAGAGCATCAATTATTTAATTACTCGAAAATATGATTGTTTACTATACAACTTTTAAATGTCGAGAAAATACTCTCGTTATTGCATTCGGTAATTTGGTATGTGGTTTCACACGACAACTGAAAAGTTGGTGGAACAACTATCTTACAGACGAAGACCATAACTCAATTACTCACCCTACAAATGATAAACATCAAAACAACAATTTTAATACTCTCTCAAGCGCCCCGACTGATTCTACCATAGAGGCCGACGATAGACAATAACTCCCCTTGTATTTTCAATTCTCAAACATTTTATTGGAACTCCTATTCTTCTTCAAGATAGAACATCTAAGATTTTATTAAATCTTAATTGTCCAAAACTCCATGATTTTTGCTAGTATAAGAACATGTTCCTTACCAGAGTTTTATTCCGAGAAGATTGCAATCAATCTTTTTGGAATGAAAGATTTATATCTGGGCTTTCAAAACTCTTTTCAAAAAGAGCTAGGAATTCTATCAAACTTTAACATCATGATACCATTCCATATGCTCTTCTTACTTATGGCGAAATTATCAATTTTGTCAACAAAGAAGGATTATGATTATGTAATGATCTCAAACTTAAAGCAAAATTGAAATTAGATTGATTTGAGAGTCGAAAAGAATTTGGATAATTCTGTGATCAAACTGGTTTTTTCAAAAAACAAAAATCTTTTCTAAATAATCCTTCCAAGAATTCAAAAAGAAAATCATTTAGGAAACAAAGTCATAAAACTTTAAACATTACATGTTGGAAATGTAATTAAATTGGTCACTGTTCCAATAAGTGTCTTATGAACGGAAAGCTTAATAATCTTCAAATTGACGAAGATATTAAATTTGAACTTCTCAATTTATTTCATTCCATTTCGGGTGAAGAATCTGATTCTGAACTTGAACTAGCTTATCAACATCAAGAAGACTCTGATGCTGAGATAAGCTCAGAATCCTCTACCTCTACTTCAGGCTAAGGAAAAAAAGTTTGTGGTTGCAAAACCATAAATGTTCTTACTAAAGAAGAAAAACTTATTCAAGAAATAATTGAGAATATTGAAGATCAACAAATTGAAGAATAAATTTTCTCTTCTTTTACCAAATGTTTCAAAATCCCAATAATTCCATTTAATATGAAAGACACATCAAATCGGTTTAATAATGGTACATCTTCAAATCCTCAAGTTCTGAATTAAGATCCGAAATCATTGAGATGAAATCTCAAATCGCTTTCCTCCAACGTCAAATGAAAGATGTTCACATGGAAGTTATTTTCTTGAAAACCAAAACTTTGGAACAAGAAAACTGTTCTAGTCCTAATTCTTCTTCTTCTGAGGAAGAAGCTTCTCATACTCATGAAACTTCTCAAATGGAAGAAGAAAAAATCAATGTTATCAATCATATTCAACTTAAAAAATGGTATTGCAATTTGATTTTTGTAGTTAACAAAGAATTTCAAAATCAGTCTTAATTGATTTCGAAGCTGATCAAAATTGTATTAAGGAAGGATTAATCCTTATAAAATATTTTGAAAAAAATCACTGAACGTATTTATGGTGCTAGTGGTAAAAAGTTCAATATTCAATATAAACTTTCAAAAGCTCATATTTACAATTCAAATATTTGTTTCAAAAATATATTTTACGTAGTCAAAGACTTGGACCAAGAAGTTATACTTGGTATCACTTTTATTGTTCAAATTTATTCATTTCAAGTTGATTCAAAATGAATTACTACAAATATCTTTGGTCAAGAAATAGTTTTTAAATTTACAAATCCTCCCTCTTACAGGAATGTTAATTCCTTAAAGGAAGCATCTATTTCAAAAATTATAAATAATATTAATCTCAAGAAAAAATACATTCAATTTCTTAAAAAGAAATTAGATTTTAAAGGATTGAGGAAAAGTTACAAAATCCCTCAATTATTGAAAATATTTCTTCATTTCAAAACAAAATTGAGAATGAAATATGTTTTACCATTCCAAATGCCATTTGGAATATGAAGAAACATGTTGTTTCGTTTCCTTATAATTCTGATTTTCATGAATCAAATATTCCTACAAAATCTTGTTCTATTCAAATGAATAAAGAATT